GCTCTTCTCCTCTCCCTCCGGCACTAATGCCCATCGCCTGCGGCACATCACGTACTGCTCCCGTCACTGCGACCGGAGTTGTTCCCTGTGCATCCCGGTTTTTATCCCGGCTCTCAGCATCACATCCCGAGTGCGGGTAAGGAACAACCAGCGTTTTCTGCTGGGTCGGGACACACGAAGCACCGTTCCTTTCAAGGCGTTTTTCGTCAAGATGGGCCCCGATTTTTTTATTACAACCTCTTCCCCCCAAAAAGCCCACAAAACAGCCAACACCCTCGCCAAAAAAACACCACAAAGAAGCCAAAACATTGTTGATTCTGTATTAATCTAATTATTAAGATTTATTTTCCAGCTTTAGTTTTAAATTGATTCTGTTGTCACTCTGGAAATTATTCTTGAGGACCAGCAAAAGAAATAGACTCCCTAGTTGGGAGTTAGGGTTTAAGCAGGGGTGAAATGGAGTATTTTGCTTCCGTTGCACAAGATAAGAGAAATGGCCAAGGTAAACAGCCTCCAGCATGGAAAGGAAGTGAAATTACAGAAGAATGAAAAGACCTGAAAGTATGTATGGTTTTGAGGAACACAGGTTATAGTGGGACTGACTTGAAAGAATGCTGTCTACATGGTTAATTTTATGTCCATTGAGAATTGTTTGATAAGCTCTACCACAGCAATTTTAGAAAATTAATTAAGCCATAATTAGCAGTCATACTTGCTGACATCAGAGTTGTGGCAGAATGCTTCAGGTTTTAAAAGTAGATTTTCATTACTTCAGTTTTAGGAATATGAAACATTTTTTTCATTGATCACTTTTTGAAAATACACAGTGGAGAAATTACTTATGTCAATACCCAGGCCTCTGTAAATATAACACAGATGTCAGTGGCATTAATACCACAAACACTGTAAAGGTACTCTTAACGTAAAAGTGTGGTCATAAAATACTTCACGTTGTACACCAGTGAGGATAGGCTGACTAGGGAATCTACTGCATCTTTTCCTAGCGGTAGCAGCCCTGCTAGCACAGTCAGGTTTTAAGATTTGAGTTCAGAGTCTAATTCACTTTGTTTAACTCTGAAAATTAGAACTGTTAGGTATCCCTAGCTAAATGCACCTTGACCTCTGTTCCCTTCTAGTATGCTACCTGTGTTTGAACTCTTTATATTGCTTAGTCACAGGGATCATTAAGCTAGAGAACTGTGTGTGTGTTGGGTGATCCTTTCTACTTTGAGACAAGGCAAAAATAATGTTTTTCTTTGTATTCCCTTATTGAAATGTATAAGATACTAACTTAAAAGTAGTATATCTCATGCTTGTATCACTTAAGATTTGTAACCACAGACCAGGGTTTCCTTGGGCGGTAAAGTATACATGCACAGGACAAAAAATGGCATCCTCTCCTTCACTCTCCATTATCCTCTAATAATGTGTATTGCAGTATTAGCAACAGAAGTGAGTTATGACCACATACTAAGATTTTTTTTCCTAGGGCTTATACCTCTCACTTAGAATTTTCCTGGGTGCAGTCCCACATAACAAAGCCATGTTTTTTAAAGTGAGATTCCCAGAATTTAATTATGAACTCTGTGTTTTATTTCTTAACAACTGGCCTGACCTTAATGAAGTATTTGAAAACTCATCATTTGATGATTCATTGTTGACTTTATTGCTGTAATCCCAGGGAGTTCCATTTAACGGCCAAGATCCCAAAGCAGAAGTCTGTGAATAAACCTAGAGCAAAAAGCAAGGCTTACTCCAAAGGGTTGAGGCTCTAAATAGAGAGAACAGATGGATACAGAGAGAGATGAACAGATGAAAGGTCAAGGAACTAAGAATGCCAGACTGTGGATATAACTTGTTGGCCCATTCATTATCTTTAAAGAGATCTCAAATGAATAAAAGTCTGTTTCATTCTGTACTGCAATTGGAAATTGTCCAGCTAATCATGTTTGACAGGATATGATTATGTATTCATTACTTAAGGATGGACTTTGACACCTGACCACCTGAACTGTGTCAATAAATCAGCCTGAGTATGTGGCCCAGATTCACATTTCTGCATGTAAAACAAGCAGCTGCATGTATAAATGCCTTTACACTTTCTCCTTGATTTCATAAGAACAATTTTGAAGTGGACAAGAATGTCCAAAGTTCAAGTTGACAGAGGAAAAAACAAAGGATTAATAGGGATCATAATAATGTTCAGCAATGTATTGACTTATTCTGGATGATTAAGGTATCCTAAGAAAAAAAGGATTTCCACAAGAAAGTTTAATTCCATAACTCAGCAAAAGAAATTCATTTGCTTCCTTTCAAATGAACCCAATCAAATGCTTGCTGGGAGCAGCAAAGCAGAAAGGAATAAAACAAGTTCAGCAAGTCAAACAATCATGTATTTCACACTCTCCTTCAAGGCAATCCTATCACTCAAACTACAGTGATTAAGAATGGAAACACATTCCACTTGTCTACTGACCTCCATGTTTTTAACCTGCAGGCACTGGAGCATGTCAATGCCCGACTTCTTGAGCTGTACCCTGATGATGAAGAACGTTTTGATATTGTCCTGATGACTAATAACCATGCCCAAGTGGGAGTAAGGCTCATAAACAGCATCAATCACTATGGTAAATAGAATAAATACTAACATACAGAACCACCCGCTGTTACATAATAATGCAAACTAATTTTATTTTTTTCTGTTCTGCCCTTGGGAAAAGCAGCTTCTTTGATACTTATTTTTGGGTGTCAGCATAAGTGGGATAGTGTTAAACAGAATTGGTCCAGTGTTCTAGATTTAACTTGTCAGGTGTGAATCTTAGTTTCTGAGAAGTCCTTAAACCTTTTAATGTTTCCTATCTATGGTCCCTACACATACACGTCCACAGCAGTTACTCTGTTGTCTTAGAGGGATTTTTTTTTCCTAAATTCTCAAGGAGGGTGGGCTGGTCAAACATTGTAGTCAGTTTAAATTGTGTAACTTGTCGAAATTACGGTGAGCATATTTTCTTTTTCTCAGTTTACTGTCAGCTACGCTAGTATATTTTTTCACAGGTTACTTTTACAGGTTTGTAGTGTCAAGACAAAATCACACCCTGTGCTGTTCTTACTTTAGGCTTAACAATTGAACGTTTCTGTATGACGGGAGGAAAAAGCCCTATTGGTTACCTGACTGCATACCTTACAAACTTGTACCTCTCAGCAGACTCGGAAAAAGTGCAAGAAGCTATAGAAGCAGGTTTGAATTGACTTTCTTTTGTTATCTTTCTGTTGAGCTTGTTCAAAAATTAGTATGTTGTGTGTCCTTCACAGATTGTAGTGCTGCTTCATCAAATGCAGAAAGTCACCACTTTGTATGGTACAAACTTATCACTTATTTTTACTTAACCAAATAAAACCGGTGATAACTCTATGATCCTTCAGCCTCCTGATAATTACAGCCTTATCACCCTATACCTTTCTGTCTTCTCCCATTACACAAAAAATTAACATCCCCACACATCTACTTACCTCTATTCAACTTCCATTTGAATAGCGTCATCTTTTTGATACAACTTAAAAAAACAATTTCTGTGTTTCATTAGGAGGTAGAAAATAGCAGTTAGTTTGATTCAGTGGTCTCCTCAGAATTTAATTCTTGGTCCCATTTGCAACACACCCTGAGGACTGTTTTTGTATATTTATATATGAAAGTGGAAGTTTTGTTAATGGAAGAGCTTCCATGCATTTGGGTTACAGGACAGCCATTGCTAATTAGCTTTACTAATTATTCCTGCTCACTATATATAAAGCTCACCACAAATAAGTTGTAGGAACTGAACTGCTGATGTTTTAATGAATGACTTTGTAGGACATGCTAACCAAGGTTCTCTGATCCATTTTCAGGCATTGCATCAGCTACGATGTTCACTGCCAACAAAGATGTTGCTTACTCAGATACACAGCTGAGGGTGGCATTCGATGGGGATGCTGTTATCTTTTCTGATGAATCAGAACAGATTTTCAAAGAGCAAGGATTAGACAGGTTTTTTGAACATGAACAGCTGAATGAAAATAAGCCTCTTGCACAGGTTTGTATTTCTTGGATCAGTGAGTTTTCAAAAGATCTGATGACTTTCATTGCTGCTGTGTTTCTCCAGTTTCCCCAGTTTGTATGTGTTCTTCTTTGTGGAAGCTGATCATCCTATTTATTTCCATTTTCGAGGATAATGCTTAAAACACATACTTGACTTACAAGAGCCCACCATTACAGTCCTTTCACCAGATCTCCCGCTTCCCTGAGAGAACACGTATATGACAGAGACTTGCAGCTGTATTTTAATGGTATCGTTAGGAGAAGAAATGCTACTATTGATTCTCTTGATTATTTTTTTAATCAGATTGTGTAGGTAATGTCAATTTCAAACACGAGGATATTTTGGTTATTCAAACTGGGTCATATCTGCTTATTCCCAAGCAGAACTATGCCATTTGTCCAAAGACCACAAATATTTTAACCTTAGCTTAAATGGAAAGACCAATTCTGCTATTGTTAAAAATAATACAAATTTGGAATAAAAGCTTGATATATGAAAGTACTGGACAGGGCAGTTTATTGCAATTTGAACCAAACTATCATTTACTTCATTTTATTGGAGTGTAGTATGGTCATTAATCTGGAAATATAATGTAGGTCTTTTCCTGATTTCTGCACAGAAAAAAAATATCATAGCTTATGGTTCATAAAGTGGTTTTAAAGAACATTTTATTAAAGACTATGGTTATAACTTTATATTGAAAGAGATTTTATAAGCTTTCCTACTTATACCATGTAGGATTATGGTTTTAAATTTTTTTCCAGTCTGCGAATTCCTAGTGAGGGTGCAGATCCAAATGGATATGTTATATAGAGAATGTGTGGAGTAGCATAGCATTAAGGAAGGGAATCCTGTGTATAATTGGCAGTCTGGAAGAAAGCAATGATTTGGGGAGCTATGGACAAATAGTAAATTTGCTTATGGTATTTCATACTCAGGGTCCTTTGAAGGGTTTTCTGGAAGACCTGGGGAAACTCCAGAAGAAATTCTATGCAAAAAATGAACGATTAAATTGTCCTATAAGGACCTTCCTGGTCACAGCCAGAAGTGCAGCGAGTTCTGGAGCCAGAGTGCTGAAGACTCTTCGTAGCTGGGGTCTGGAGATTGATGAGGCACTTTTCCTAGCAGGAGCTCCTAAAGGACCAATCCTGGTGAAAATCCGACCTCATATTTTTTTTGATGACCAGATGTTCCACATTGAAGGAGCACAGAAATTAGGCACCATAGCTGCACATGTTCCTTATGGCATTGCTCAAAAGTACCACAAACCTGCGTGAATGGATGTCACCATTAAGAATAAGGTTCTTAACTCAGCCAACCTCTAATATACCAATAGCTATGTCTGAAAACCTCTACATTTGTGTAAGCACTATGTTTAAATATCTAACTTCTGGCTAGAACAGCCTTTAAAGGAAATACTTTTAATAGGGTTAAATTTTTAATGGAATTATTTTAATATAATTCTTAGGCAGTTTAGATTTTTTTACCCACCTGGATCTAACACTGTGTTTTTGATATTAGGAAAAGATTTGTACTGTTTTTATAGCTTGAGACATATTTTGAGAGACAGAATAGTTATATTTTCTCTAAACTGCTGACAGGTTATTTATAACAAAATTCATGCTGCAGCGCTAGTTCTTGATGGTTCTTTCTGAAGTTCCAAAAAGCACAGTTTACATGTAACTGTTTACCTGTTGGTGGTTTGTTTGTTAAATATGTGTTCAGTAGGTCTGTCACCACAAGGTTTTGGCTTCCAGTGAATTGTTAGCATATCTGATCTCGTGTTTACAGGAACCCTTTATTTTTCTGTATTCTTCTTCTATCCTAATAAAGCTGGCTTTACAGAACATTGTCATTTTTCTATGTAGAGGTTTTAGCATAATTTCCTAGGCACAGTTTGTGTAATCAGCATCCTCCTGATGTTTAGAACCAGAAGTGACCACTTTCAATCAAATTTGAGAGAGAGAGAGAGAGGTTTTGCTTAATCCCAACATCTTTCACAGAGCTGGGTAGAAGTCTGAGATGCTTTGAATAACTTGACTGGTACAAAGGCTCAAGCATCATCTTTGTAACAGCAGAGAATCTACCCTGAAGTAATGCTGTTGATGGAACTATTTGCTTCTTAACTACATTCCCTTAGGATTTACAACTGTTCTGTGATCTGCATGAAATTAGTTTGGCAACCTCAGATGAGTTTCCAGGGAACAAGTGCCTATTGCTATATGACTTCAAATTTGCACCATAGGTCTATTCTACCACTTTTATACTAAGTTACTGTATCTCAGTGTTATCCATGTGAATAAGTGTTATCCAAATGACACCACTAGCATCTGTCAGGTGGTGTTTGTTCTCTTTCTCTCCCTAGTGGAACAACTGTCCTGTTTTATTGTTGCCATATACCAGAAGAGACAAAACTGAAACAATGTGTTTTGCAGTGGGAGTAGAAATGGTGAATCAGACTAGTGATGATCTGTGGTTCCTGGGGGAATTTGGTCCAGAATCTCACATTAGCCTCTGAGAAAGTTTGGTCTCCTCTGTCTGGATGAACTGTCCTGTTATTGCAGAAAGCTTCATTGCATTAATTATGATTTCCCTCCCAGGAACATAGGCAATCATTTTAGTGTTCTGGGTCCAAGCCACAAGGTTCTTTGGAAACAAAGGCAAAAGCCTTGTTCCTGCATGAAACTCGAATAGAGACCATTGGAAAGGTTTCCATGCGTTCACACCAGTATGTGTTGTTGATGGTATGCACTGCAGATTTCTGGTGTACTTGGAACTTCGTAAGTGCTAAAGGCTTTGTGCCCAAAATGTATCACATTTCCCAGCCCAGCCAGGAGGTGAGGAAGACATGAATAACTGAGGCCTGGTCATTGTCTGCCAGGATGGGATAGAGTTACCTCGCCAAATGAAGATTATGAAAAATGTTATTAGCAGATGTTTTTATGTGAGAGCTTGGAATCCACAAGGAATTTAAAAATATTCCTTAGCAATGGAATATAAATTGTGTGTGTACCTTTACCAAAAGGACAGCTGCAAATTTCAGGAGGACTGGTCCTGCCTTGTTGAAGCTGAACATGGATCAGTCATTCTGCATCCATGCATTGTTAGAGCTATGGAGGCAGGGAACATGAAGGATACATACAGTGCACAAATTGTTGGTACTTGACTCTCTCTCACTGTACATAGCAATTAAGTCTTGATGCTGATAAAGGCTAATGGAATCCTTGATTGCTGTGAGAGTCCAAAGGTAAGACTCATGCCTGACAGAGTAAGCATGTAAATCAGTGAGTAATTTGGAAGCTAAATCATCTGGTCTATTATGTTTATTTTCAATCAACCATCCACCTACAGCAAAAATGAAATCAGCTGACTAGGACATAGTTAGGAGCTTCCAGTTCTTACACCTTTCTTGATCTATACACACAGAGTTACTAGAGGACTGCCTCTTGTTCCTGACAGCCCTAAGGCATGCGTGAAGAGGAATAAAAGAGTTCACGTAATAAATTTACATATGATAATTTACATTCTTATTCATAGAATTCGAATTGACATTAAAGTTTAGAAATTGATGTTAAGGTCCACAATCACTTCTCATAAGTTAGTTTTGCAAAATGCCCTGAGATGTTTGTTCAGATTATACACTCACTGCCTTTTAATTGTCAGGCAACTGTCCCAAGCACAACAGCTGCCTCTCTGCATATCCAGCTGACAGCATGGTGGGTGAATGGAGCCTCATTCGTTCATGCAAGTACCTTCCAGACTAATCTGGATGTTCAGGGAGACTCAGTCTTGCCAAGCAGTCTCTGCCCATTACAATTATTTTCTTCTGCTCCAAGGGACAGCTTGGCTAGTGGACCGAAATAATCTTTTTCAAGAAAATTCCCTGAAATGGGATGGGAGCTGAGGGAAAGGGTTTTCTATTTTTGTAGACATAGAAGAGAATTGTCTCTTAATAGCATTCCAGTCCACAAAACAAAACAAACAAGCAAATTGCAACAACAAAACTCAACAAAAAATGTCTTGCTTCTCACGCTCACGAGGTTACCATGAGTTTATGCCCTGGCACCTCGTAACCCTAAACTGGTCACAGTTACAACAGAAATATTTGTCAATAGGGATATAGAGAGGACTGTCTATGACACTGTCTACAACACTGGAAGACAGACTCATGAAAAAGAAACTCTCATCCCAGACAAAACCTGGAAGAGAATTAATAATAACATAGATCAAATTCTGTGTGGAAACAGAATTTTGTCAGGCAAAGACCATTCTTTTCCCCTTAGCTTCCAGGTTTCTATACCACATCACAATGAAAAGTCCAGGTATAACAAATGGGAATGTCTCCTACTGCTACCAATCCCCATGACGAAAATGTTAGAAATAAGATTCTGGAGGTGACTTTGCTAGTTTTTATGGTGGTTTTTTTTACAGAACATATCCTCAGACTGTCTTAGATACCTCCCACCAGATACCAAGGCACAATAACCCCATGTTCCTGCATTCCTTCACACCTCCAAGGCACCCTTTCAGTTTTCAGGCTACCATGTCATACATAGTGCAACAACCATCTGGAAGAAATAAAATATTTCAGATGAAAGTTTGGAGATAGTCATCATCACATGTGTTACAAAATGCATCATGTGTTCCTGGAATGTGATTTGTCCAGGACTTGGGATTCAGAAGGCTTCTATTCCCTGAGGAGGATCCTCAGGTACAGACCTTGGGCTCCTCTGCTGGATCAGCACTGTCCTGCAGTAGTGCTAAGGACACCCTTGAGTGTTACAGATGGGTAGAGAAAGCAGTAAAACAGGTCAGTGTCTTACAAGAAATAATAACTTCTGGTTATCCCTGCTCAGTAGTATCTGGGAACAACAACACCTGAATGCATACATCATTCCTGCCTACATAAGCAGCTTTTGATGACCATCACCTGTGAGCTCCTGAGCACAGTGCTCCTTGCACTGCAGGCTGGACTGACCATGGATGAACTCAGGCAGAATCCTTGAGGCAGTGCCCTCTCCAACACATTCACAGCCTTCTGAAGTAGCAGGTGTTTCACAGATGACTGCCAGAGTCCTCACTGCCAGATGACAAACAGCAGATTCTTTACTTCCCACCAGGAGGATTTCTTACAGGATGAATCTGTTCCTCTAACGGGGTGTTTCCTGGTTCTCCTATTTCAACATCTCCTTGGTAACCACTGTTTCTTGCTTATGGTTCTCAGCTGCAGATGCAGGCATGGCTCCAACACCTCCTAAGATATGATTTACTATGAGATGAGCATAGGGAAGAACACCTCAAGATGGCTCTTACATCATGTTAAGAATGCCAAAATCCATCTGTGTCATGCAGATGTAATGGTGTGGCCTAGGTAAAATAAGCTTCGGTGTAATCATGAGTCTCACAATGGAGTGAAAAGCTGAGAATGAAGAGAGAAACAGTAGAGATCTTTCAGCAAATCCAGTGTTTAGATGTGGTGCCTATACAGCCCTTGAACTGCCTGAGAAGTGTGACAGTCAGAAAAGACATAGTAAGGATACTTCCAGAAAAATCTGATAGTTTTCTGCAGTTGTAACATGAGCTGAAGTCAGCCTCAGAACAGACTGTAAGTAGCACCAGCATGTGGCAGTTAATGGGAGGTTACTATTTCAAGTGGTTAACATGTTCAGACAAGCCACAAGAAACCTGACGAAAGGCTTGTGGGTTTCCTCTTGGATTTCTTACTTATTTCCCCAAACCAACTAGGTCTTGACTCAAGACAGTTATGTTCATTATCAGCCAAGCCAAGCTTGTTTCTGGTCTTCTGGGGAAGCTGAGGACCCAGGGTGGAGAAACTGAATATGACTTTTGCAGAAGCATTTAAGCTGCCATGAGATTCAAAGACTGGTAATGAAATACTATTGGTACCCTTAGCACCAGCTTTCCTTGTGATGGGGTTTTTCCTGTGAGGCTGATAAATATTAGTAAAATATTTTGGTGAAACCTCTATCAGCAAAATAAACACCACTGGGAAATGCTGCTGGGCCCTAGAATGCCAGCATCTCTATGTCATTAAGATACTGTCATTGTCTCATAATTCTAAAATTGTCAGGAAAAGTTGGCTTGGTTTTGGCCTGGGCCAGCTGGCTTTCTCCTGGATGAGACCCATCGACATTTCAGAACTCAGCATGGGATGAAAACCAAGGACTAGACTCAAGCTCTGCCAGGGGGAGGTTTAGGTTGGATATTAGGAAGAGATTTTTTCAGAAAGAGTGATCAGGCATTGGAATGTGCTGCCCGAGGAGGTGGTGGATTCACCATCCCTGGAGGTTTTGAAGATGAGATTGGATGTGGCACTTAGTGCCATGGTCTAGTAACCACGGT